TGATTACGTCTTTAATTGATTTTTCCGTACATTTCTGCCATATGTACATAAACTGACAGTCACCACTGATAAGCTACTACTAAATATTGTAGAAACTTCGTTTTCTGTAAAGTTGCTTTGCAACGATTTATATCATAAAAAGCGCTATACAAATAAACTTGAATTTAATTTAATTGAAAAACGTCTTAAGTGCAAGTGTAAATGCATTTAAGAAAAATAAAAGACATTTAAATCACCATTTTGCTACCCTTTTGCTGCACCTTTGGCTCAGAATGCATTTTGAAATTCCCACTGCATTTTGCTACAATTATCACGCGGTATCACAATGAAAATGCAATCCCAAGTGTCCTAACGGTATGTCTAAATGCATTTAGGGAAAATGGCATTTAAATGATAATTTTGCTACAGTTTTTGCTTGGACATGTTAAACATATCTAATCAATTTGGGTAATACAATTTAATTTAAATTTTGCAACTTATAAAGCGTTAAAATATGTTTTTAAAACTAAAAACATTAAAACATTAAAACTAGTGCAGGAAATGGCAAATGTAAATTATATAATTTAATTTTCATTTTGCACTAAATGTTGCACATATGTATGGGAAAATGTACATTTAAATACAGAAATACATTGTCATTTTGCATATTACATTTCAAAATGAATTTTGCTACACATATGCTTCCATATACATGCTCCTGCATTTGGTTGGGTGTTGCTTTTTAGGAATCAACAGGATTACAACAAGTGCATTAGTGCTCTAGTGCATTAGAGTCTTTTGAGTTGGAGGGTCATTCTCTTCCTTCCTCACCACCAGCATTGGCTGGTTCATGATTTTACAACACTCAGAATGAATGAGAAGAGAGTGTTGCAATTGGGGTTTTTCGAATTCTACATTGTTCTGATGTAAATTGTAACCATTTTCATTGTTTGTTTGTCCTTCAACGTCAAGACCATCACATTTTCAGTGTGCCGAATGATTGTTTCCCCAATCCTAAGCCCAGCATTTTATTATGACTGGAATGACTGGTGGTTCACCTCTGTTTTTCTAATTTCCTAATTGTACCACAGGCGTGGGTTTCCAGATCAAGAAGGCTCTCAGACAGTGGTACAGAATTGTAAAAGCCGAGCAATCTGTAGCCATGACCGGATCAAGAAGAGAGACAACCATGTCTCCCAGCACTTTCTTCACAGTCTCAGAATTGGCCAAGATGTAAGATTTTATGCCATATTTGATTTTTTTTTTTTTGTCCACCCAGAAAGCTAGGTGCCCATGCAAGAGAAGCATACCCATGTCAGTGCAAATGTTTGTGTTAGGTTGAAACATTTCATGGAATTTGGGCACAACATGATCTAAGACAGGGCAGACTTCAGCCTGTCAGTGTCGTTGTCTGGGTTTGCTTTATTATCACTGAAGTGAATAAATGTCCATATGATTTCAAACCTGTTACAAGGAAATGACCTTGTTGAAATAGTGTAGCTAACATTTCATCTGTAGACCAGTGAGAATAAAAGAGCCATAGGAAGCCTGATAAAAAATGCTCATTTAAAATAAAAAAAATCTCAGATGCACTTCAAGGTTTTTGAAAACATTTTGAAGAGGAAATATAAAAAAAAAAAATTGCACTATTTATATTCTAATAAATAATACCATTTTGCTTGTAAATGTCTCCTTGATTCCCCCTATTTTACTAACCCTACCCCCAAATTATCATTGCGCCCCTAAACCTCCTTGGGAAAAAGGAAAGGTAAAACTTTGCTCTAATAAGTTACAGAAAAATGTTTCATAATATTAACAGTGAATTTAGACATATGCAATAGTGCGTTTATACATGATCAAGAATGTGTCTGCACATGTTCATGTCAAAAGAGTTCAGCTGCCAAAATTTGAATTAAACATGGGAATGACACCGGTGGGGAAAACCCCAATCTGTTGTTGATAATTCACAGACTATTTTCAGATGCTGTTTACATAACTGAGGAAAAGGTTTTACTTCTTATACACAAAATAGGGCTAAAAACAGCGCAAAAGACTTTAGAGATGTTGTTACTTAATTGCAGGTTTTAATTTACCTGATTTTAAGCAGGGCTTTGTGCACGTAAATACACTTCCCATCAACCAGGAACTTTAGGTCAGAGATTTCTGGGCTGTCGAACTCTCGCTTTAGCGACTGGGCAACAGTCAGGTAGTCATCTCCATCTAATGAGCAGAAAAGAGTTAGAAAATAATACATTATTTGTTTAAAGCAACTTTCTCGCAAAATGAAACATCCAGAGTTACAGTAGGTTTCCACATGTAAAAACAAATGTAAAGTTGTGTCATTAAAATGCTGATGATTTACATGTCTAAATCATATAGGCCACATACAGACTACAGCTAAATCTGGTTGTCAGTTCACATTTTATTGCTTAGAACTCTTCTGTACTCACACGGTTCAGTAATTTACGGGAATGAAAACATTCTACAACCAAACTGACTATAGAAAAATTCAGCTAGTGAAATTCTATGTAGTATATGGAACCGAACTGAACAACTAGACTCATTCAAACATGTATCAGAGTCGTGTCTTCTGTATGTGCGGTGCAAGAAGTCACAAGGATACGTTTTGACTCAGTGTTGCCAGATCTTGATAGAAAGAAAGGCTTATTTCCGTTATCTTGGAAATAAGCCACATACCAAAATATAGCGATCTGCACCTGCTTACTTTATTAACTCCATATACTGGATCACTTTAAAGGGTTAGTTCACCCAAAAATGAAATTCTGTCATTAATTACTCACCCTCATGTCATTCCAAACACATTTCTTCGGAACACAAATTAAGATATTTTTGATGAAATCTGAGAGCTCTCTGATCCTCCATAGAAAGCAAGGATACGATCACGATCAAAGCACAGAATCGTAGTAAGGACATCGGTAAAATAGTCCATGTGCACGTGCATGCTGAATATAAACATCGCTGATTGCATTCAGCGAAAGCATGTGCAGACTGAACGTAAACAATGCTGATTACGTTGATTGGTTCTGGGGTATTCTCAGAAATGGCGGAAGGTTAGGGGGTGGGCCCTTTGGCTAACGGTTGCCTGTTACATTACAGTACTTAAAATTTCACTTACCACATAAACAGAGTTAGGAGAGATGACTGAGGACGATTGCGAATGATTTGCAGATTCTGAGCACCACTGACAAACATCTAATCTTGTAAAATGTGTGGTAAGTACTGTCGCTCCATAGTATAAACAGAGTACGTGCGATTGCGAATCTCAAAAGTGAAACTAAAAAGCGATCGTGCATTCAAAAGCAGTTTCAATGCCAGGCATAATAGCAGCTCCCTGATGTCCGCAATTTATATACAGTACAATTACCCAATGATAAACCTGCCAGAGAAAGTATTGAAATACATATTTTCCTCCCATCTCGTATTTATTCCCTTTAGGGGTTCCGTAATACACATCATTTTCTTTCAGAACACTGTATTGGGATGTGGCGGATTGCGGGGGGTATGGAGAGAGGGGGCAAAAAAAAAAAAGCCACGATGCAGGCTCAACATCGTGATATCTATCACGTGATATCTATCTATCTACAATGGCACCGTCTATCGGACCAACCCTAGTTGAACCCCTGATGTCACATGGACTATTTTACTGATGTCCCTTACTACATTTCTGTGCCTTGATCGTGTAATATCCTTGCTGTCTATGGAGGGTCAGGGAGCTCTCAGATTTCATCAAAAATATCTTAATTTGTGCTCCAAGAATGAACGAAGGTCTTACGGGTTTGGAACGACATGAGGGTGAGTAATTAATGACAGAACTTTCATTTTTGGGTGAACTAACCCTTTAAGAGCAGAGCCCAAAAACAAGCTAAAACTTTTGCCCCCTTAATGAAATCCTTATGATTACGTCTTTAATTGATTTTTCCGTACATTTCTGCCATATGTACATAAACTGACAGTCACCACTGATAAGCTACTACTAAATATTGTAGAAACTTCGTTTTCTGTAAAGTTGCTTTGCAACGATTTATATCATAAAAAGCGCTATACAAATAAACTTGAATTTAATTTAATTGAAAAACGTCTTAAGTGCAAGTGTAAATGCATTTAAGAAAAATAAAAGACATTTAAATCACCATTTTGCTACCCTTTTGCTGCACCTTTGGCTCAGAATGCATTTTGAAATTCCCACTGCATTTTGCTACAATTATCACGCGGTATCACAATGAAAATGCAATCCCAAGTGTCCTAACGGTATGTCTAAATGCATTTAGGGAAAATGGCATTTAAATGATAATTTTGCTACAGTTTTTGCTTGGACATGTTAAACATATCTAATCAATTTGGGTAATACAATTTAATTTAAATTTTGCAACTTATAAAGCGTTAAAATATGTTTTTAAAACTAAAAACATTAAAACATTAAAACTAGTGCAGGAAATGGCAAATGTAAATTATATAATTTAATTTTCATTTTGCACTAAATGTTGCACATATGTATGGGAAAATGTACATTTAAATACAGAAATACATTGTCATTTTGCATATTACATTTCAAAATGAATTTTGCTACACATATGCTTCCATATACATGCTCCTGCATTTGGTTGGGTGTTGCTTTTTAGGAATCAACAGGATTACAACAAGTGCATTAGTGCTCTAGTGCATTAGAGTCTTTTGAGTTGGAGGGTCATTCTCTTCCTTCCTCACCACCAGCATTGGCTGGTTCATGATTTTACAACACTCAGAATGAATGAGAAGAGAGTGTTGCAATTGGGGTTTTTCGAATTCTACATTGTTCTGATGTAAATTGTAACCATTTTCATTGTTTGTTTGTCCTTCAACGTCAAGACCATCACATTTTCAGTGTGCCGAATGATTGTTTCCCCAATCCTAAGCCCAGCATTTTATTATGACTGGAATGACTGGTGGTTCACCTCTGTTTTTCTAATTTCCTAATTGTACCACAGGCGTGGGTTTCCAGATCAAGAAGGCTCTCAGACAGTGGTACAGAATTGTAAAAGCCGAGCAATCTGTAGCCATGACCGGATCAAGAAGAGAGACAACCATGTCTCCCAGCACTTTCTTCACAGTCTCAGAATTGGCCAAGATGTAAGATTTTATGCCATATTTGATTTTTTTTTTTTTGTCCACCCAGAAAGCTAGGTGCCCATGCAAGAGAAGCATACCCATGTCAGTGCAAATGTTTGTGTTAGGTTGAAACATTTCATGGAATTTGGGCACAACATGATCTAAGACAGGGCAGACTTCAGCCTGTCAGTGTCGTTGTCTGGGTTTGCTTTATTATCACTGAAGTGAATAAATGTCCATATGATTTCAAACCTGTTACAAGGAAATGACCTTGTTGAAATAGTGTAGCTAACATTTCATCTGTAGACCAGTGAGAATAAAAGAGCCATAGGAAGCCTGATAAAAAATGCTCATTTAAAATAAAAAAAATCTCAGATGCACTTCAAGGTTTTTGAAAACATTTTGAAGAGGAAATATAAAAAAAAAAAATTGCACTATTTATATTCTAATAAATAATACCATTTTGCTTGTAAATGTCTCCTTGATTCCCCCTATTTTACTAACCCTACCCCCAAATTATCATTGCGCCCCTAAACCTCCTTGGGAAAAAGGAAAGGTAAAACTTTGCTCTAATAAGTTACAGAAAAATGTTTCATAATATTAACAGTGAATTTAGACATATGCAATAGTGCATTTATACATGATCAAGAATGTGTCTGCACATGTTCATGTCAAAAGAGTTCAGCTGCCAAAATTTGAATTAAACATGGGAATGACACCGGTGGGGAAAACCCCAATCTGTTGTTGATAATTCACAGACTATTTTCAGATGCTGTTTACATAACTGAGGAAAAGGTTTTACTTCTTATACACAAAATAGGGCTAAAAACAGCGCAAAAGACTTTAGAGATGTTGTTACTTAATTGCAGGTTTTAATTTACCTGATTTTAAGCAGGGCTTTGTGCACGTAAATACACTTCCCATCAACCAGGAACTTTAGGTCAGAGATTTCTGGGCTGTCGAACTCTCGCTTTAGCGACTGGGCAACAGTCAGGTAGTCATCTCCATCTAATGAGCAGAAAAGAGTTAGAAAATAATACATTATTTGTTTAAAGCAACTTTCTCGCAAAATGAAACATCCAGAGTTACAGTAGGTTTCCACATGTAAAAACAAATGTAAAGTTGTGTCATTAAAATGCTGATGATTTACATGTCTAAATCATATAGGCCACATACAGACTACAGCTAAATCTGGTTGTCAGTTCACATTTTATTGCTTAGAACTCTTCTGTACTCACACGGTTCAGTAATTTACGGGAATGAAAACATTCTACAACCAAACTGACTATAGAAAAATTCAGCTAGTGAAATTCTATGTAGTATATGGAACCGAACTGAACAACTAGACTCATTCAAACATGTATCAGAGTCGTGTCTTCTGTATGTGCGGTGCAAGAAGTCACAAGGATACGTTTTGACTCAGTGTTGCCAGATCTTGATAGAAAGAAAGGCTTATTTCCGTTATCTTGGAAATAAGCCACATACCAAAATATAGCGATCTGCACCTGCTTACTTTATTAACTCCATATACTGGATCACTTTAAAGGGTTAGTTCACCCAAAAATGAAATTCTGTCATTAATTACTCACCCTCATGTCATTCCAAACACATTTCTTCGGAACACAAATTAAGATATTTTTGATGAAATCTGAGAGCTCTCTGATCCTCCATAGAAAGCAAGGATACGATCACGATCAAAGCACAGAATCGTAGTAAGGACATCGGTAAAATAGTCCATGTGCACGTGCATGCTGAATATAAACATCGCTGATTGCATTCAGCGAAAGCATGTGCAGACTGAACGTAAACAATGCTGATTACGTTGATTGGTTCTGGGGTATTCTCAGAAATGGCGGAAGGTTAGGGGGTGGGCCCTTTGGCTAACGGTTGCCTGTTACATTACAGTACTTAAAATTTCACTTACCACATAAACAGAGTTAGGAGAGATGACTGAGGACGATTGCGAATGATTTGCAGATTCTGAGCACCACTGACAAACATCTAATCTTGTAAAATGTGTGGTAAGTACTGTCGCTCCATAGTATAAACAGAGTACGTGCGATTGCGAATCTCAAAAGTGAAACTAAAAAGCGATCGTGCATTCAAAAGCAGTTTCAATGCCAGGCATAATAGCAGCTCCCTGATGTCCGCAATTTATATACAGTACAATTACCCAATGATAAACCTGCCAGAGAAAGTATTGAAATACATATTTTCCTCCCATCTCGTATTTATTCCCTTTAGGGGTTCCGTAATACACATCATTTTCTTTCAGAACACTGTATTGGGATGTGGCGGATTGCGGGGGGTATGGAGAGAGGGGGCAAAAAAAAAAAAGCCACGATGCAGGCTCAACATCGTGATATCTATCACGTGATATCTATCTATCTACAATGGCACCGTCTATCGGACCAACCCTAGTTGAACCCCTGATGTCACATGGACTATTTTACTGATGTCCCTTACTACATTTCTGTGCCTTGATCGTGTAATATCCTTGCTGTCTATGGAGGGTCAGGGAGCTCTCAGATTTCATCAAAAATATCTTAATTTGTGCTCCAAGAATGAACGAAGGTCTTACGGGTTTGGAACGACATGAGGGTGAGTAATTAATGACAGAACTTTCATTTTTGGGTGAACTAACCCTTTAAGAGCAGAGCCCAAAAACAAGCTAAAACTTTTGCCCCCTTAATGAAATCCTTAGCAGACAGTTTTCAGCAGCTGCCCTCAGTTCAGTGTCCTTTTGGTCAACCTGGAGTACTGAATGAGTTGGTAAAAACAAGCATCATAATCCTAGATATAAAACAAATACATACATCCAAACAAATGTTATAACTTCTATCTAAACAAAGAGTTGTCTATATTCTCCAGGAAGTATTTCAGTGTAGTATAGTTTGTGTTCAGCAGTGGGTAGTACAAGTGCTTTGTGAAACGTGTGACTTGCTAGACTTTTAAAATGGGGAAATCAAGGAAGCCAATTTAGCAGGAGTGTCTGTAATATTTCTTAACAGCCCAAATGTTTGGTGTTTTAAGAACAACAGTCTATATCTGCAAAAAAGAAAAGTAGCCAATGAAGTAATGTGTCCAAACAACAAGGAACTACTGCAGCAAAGTCATGATTAGAAAAAATGGACAGTTGGAGCACCAAGATGGACATCTATTAGATTTAACATCTAACCTGGCCAGTTCAATCACCTGATTTGAATATTATCAACCACAATGGATAGTTTTGGAAAGAAGAGTGAGAAGCAGATTCCCTCCTTCAACATCAATGAAACAACTTGCAGATGTTTTGATAGACAACTTTCCACTGAAGACGATTCAAAAGTTGTGTGAATCTATTCTAAGAAGGTTAGAAGCTGTATTAAAAGCGAATGGTGGTCAAACACCTTAATAAAGAAACGGGAGAGCAGGGCACAACCTAAAGCATGGGTAGCTGTAACACACATTGTTTAAAATTTTCCACACATGCTAGAAAAATAAAACCATGTATTTACTAGTTGCCATATCAACACTATACAGAGAAAAATGCACTAATCTTTGGAAGATATCACTGAACATTTAATTGTAGCATAAGTAAATTTAAATGTCACATCCATTTTGGTGTTTATCTAAAATGAGACAAATCTGCTATTGTTTTAAATTACAAACCGTTAGAAGTTTAGATAAAATTTAAATTAGATTTAAATGCCAGTTGTGCAGGTGGGGCACATTGTAACACTGTTAAAACATGCCTCGCTATTAGAACTGTTATTCTATGAAGGTAGCGACATAACTGTACTGTTACTTTCATGAATGCTACTGAGAAACCATCATAAACAGGTGAAGAAAGACAGAGAAGAAGAACCTGAAAGTTCAGAATTTATTATTTTAAGAAATATAAAGCATTTGTACTGGCTTGTCTATTTGTCTTCTGTTGTGTGTGAAGGGAGGGGTGTGCTGTATTCCACTCTGTGTTTTTCTGAATACCTAAATGTTTCTATCTATTTGCCCACAATGTTTTGAACTATGCTGTATAGCTGTGTTTAATGGTGTGTTTGTTTTCAAACTCCAAAATTAGTTGTTTTTTATTTTTAAATAATGCTGTTATTTTATATGAAATAAGTTAAAATAAATATATATTTTGTATTTACCATAAATGACAAAATGTTTTAGTTTGCCTTGAACATACATGTATATATTTTTATTAGATCAGAAAACATTTTAAGCTGTTATTTGTTCATGTTACAACATGCCCCTCACATGTTACAATGTGGCCCACCTATGGGGCATGTTGTCACATTTCACTTTCATTCTTTCAGGGGAAAAAAAAAAGACAGTGTATTAATGAAACAAGACAACATATTTGTACTAGACATGTAAAATGAATATGAAAAAAAACTCTGAACCCCGATTCCAGAAATGTTAGGAAGTTTTGTGAAATGCCATAAAATCAAGAATGTGTTATTTGTTCATTCTCTTTAACGTTTATTTAATTGACTAAAGTACAAAGATTTTTTTTACAAAGAGAAAAAAAAAAGAGTACAAAGAGAAGATGCTCCTTTTATACCCAAACATGATAGCCCCTATTACCAATTCACCTGCTTACTGTGAACTGTTTGAAACCAGTTTAATTGGTTTATTCTGTAACATTTTCATTTTTATTTTACTTGTCCCAAAATTTTTGGAGTGTGTCTAAATAAAATTTAAAGAGAATGAAGAAAAAAAAAAAAAAAGAAATCACAGATTCTTGATTTTTCCTATCGACACTTTACTTGTCGATAGGAACTTGTCGATAGGAACTGCCAAGACACTATGGGAAAAAGTAATTTTTTCGCCTGAACTGAAGCCTTTTTCAATAACGCAGTGCAACTGCATGGCCATTGGTTAGTGCGGTACACTTTAAAAACAAACCAATGGCTTGGCAGCGGTGCTGCACAAACCTATGGCCACGAAGCCCACCAAAGCCCACCAGAATGGCCGGGGCCATCTGGCTATACAAGCGGGCACTTCGCCATAGGATTCAGATTTCTTCTCCTTCAGCGACGACGATGTTCTATGCTGATCTCCACTGACTGAAGAGCCTGCAACCTCTTTGCTCGGCTGATTCGCCGCCTTCAGTGCCGCACAGTGGTCCAGCTTCCCCTGCCGCCATCCGGCGAGCCTTATAAAGAGCAAATTTCTAAGAGCAAATTTTTGCGGCGTGGTTTCAAATGGCGTGCCGTTATTGCGGAACGTGCAAATCTCCCTGCACGCCAATGACGGCCACTGTGAGTGCGTTTCCTGCTTGGGGAAATCCCACGTGGAATCCGCGCTCACCAAGACGGATTGTTCCAACTTTGAGAACATGAGTCTCGCCTCTCTGCACTCACGGATAGCTTTCTTTTCAGAAAGCGACTCCGCCCCTCACGCCCTCCCATTTTCTTCCTCCCAGGAGCCTGTGAGGAAAAAACAGTAGGGCAGAGGATCGCAGCGCTCGGATGCAAGCGAGCTCACGTCGGCTCAAGTCCTGTGTGCCTCGCTCTCTCCACACAGAGAGACTTCCCCCCGTCCTCTTCACCAAGCCTGACCAGCGTCCCTCTGCCAGCGCGAGCGATCTGGTCTCGTTCGGTGGGAGTGATGACGAGCTGCTGGATGACAGCATGTCATTAGCAGCCTCAGATGCGGAGGAGCTGTCGGGCTCGACTGCCGCCCCCGCCCCCCTGCCGTCGCCCGAGCCCAGCGATGTTAAGCCCGGGATGGACGCCGAATTACTCCTTGTCATATCGAAAGCCATCGAGGAGCTGGGATTGGAGTGGTCTCCACCGGAGGAGCCCTCCCACAGCCGTCTGGACGAGTGGTTCCTGGTGGGCCGCCGCCAAGCCCCTCGTCAGCGATCCTTTCCTTTTTTCACGGAGGTCGATGATGAGCTCAACAGGTCGTGGTGCGCCCCATACTCTGCACGTCTCCGTACTTTCGCTTCATCCGCCCTCACTTCGGTGGACGGCGCTGAAGATAAGGGGTACGAGAAACTGCCTCCGCTGGATGAG